TCGCAATGGTCCCATATTAATTCTTCTCATCTTTTCTGCAATGTGTTATCTATATCATTCCCAAATAACCAAATCTAACGGCGTCTTTTATTATTCAAATGTTTTCATAAATCCCAACTATGCCGTAATATCTAAGAACCATGGAGAGGTTACGGGGAGTATGAAAAATATGACAACTAAAACAATAACGCAATTGCATAGTGATGTGCTGAAAGAACGCGTAGTCCTTGAGGCCAAGCAAAAGCAGTTGGGAATCACAGATGACATGGTGAATAAGGCTCTAGCTCACAACACGTCAACGGAAAGGCTTTCCTGGATAATAGAAGACGTTCTCATCACAGGAAGGACATTAACACTCGGCGTGGTTGGAGGATCTGTGTCAGCTGGGGGTGGTTTGCTGAATCATCGGGATGTGTTCATATATGAGGTGGCATCTTACTTACAGAGAATACTCAATACAAATGTAATTGTTAAAAACGGAGCAAGGTGCACTATATGGCAGGCAGTGCGTCCTGTGTTTTAATACGTTTATCAATGGGAATGATATAGATTTATTTTTCTGGGAGTTTTCGTTAAATGATCGTAAATTTCTTCCGATCGCACAAGAGGAATTGACAAGAATTGCATTATCACTTCCCCACGAACCACAAATTATGTATGTCAACTTTGTTTTTGGAAGTATGGTAAGGAACAGAAATTGTTTTGAAGCTGACCAGAATCGACGTCTTCCTTTGGCAAAGTATTATAACATTCCAAATATAAATCAACAGGACGCAATATGCGATTTGGTCAAAAAGGGGAATGCCAATGATTTTTGTGTGGAGGATGACGGTCACCCCAGCGCAAAATCTCACGCAATAATGGCTTTGTTTATTAATTTGCTTGTACAACGAACAATACTGAATATGGAGACAAACTATCCGGCATATTCAGTAACAAACACTGAAGAAATGCCAACATTGTTTAATGTGTCAGAATTTGAGCATTCACAGTGCTGGTCTGCATTAGAATCTGGATACAGTCATCGCCATGGCAACTTTACTCTCCAAGTTATTGAGAACAGTGGATGTACTTACAAAAAAGTTAATTTGCGAGGTTATGATCGTCTCGACATCAAAGCTGAATGGTCTTGTAAAGGTCGTAAAGCGACCATCAAATTTAAATTCATCATACAACCATTCAAAAATAAGACATTTTCAATTGCAATATTTCTGCGTGCGAGTATACATCATTACAACACGCTTTTATCAACGTTAGATAAGCGAAATCCAAAGGTTATTGGACATGGAAACAATTTATCCGTGGATGGCGGTATACTAACTGTCGAACACAATGTGCCATCTGGTAGTCATTATCTTACGGTCACTAACTCTGCCTGCAACGAAGGGTTTGGCATTAGAGCTATTGTGGCGTACATCACAAAGCGACAAATAGACTATGAGAATGTGGATATAATATAAACAGCTGGGATGATCAATCATCTTGTGTTATTATTTATTTTTCGAATTTGGTCTGGTCACTACAAGGATATGGTCTATTTTTTGAGAAAATAATTGCGATATTTAATGAATGGCGGCCACTGTCAGTATTATTACGTTTTTCCATTGATTGCGTTCAATAGAATAACAATTATTTTCAAATTAATGTTGTAATCAGTCTAAGATAAGTCATGCCTTAATATGACCCACTGATAATAAACATATGTCGTTTTTTCAAGAAGATACTTTGGTCATACATACTACATTAACAATATTAAGTTGTTCTGTTAAAGCACTCATGAGAAAGCGTTAGGTGCCGTAGATCTCATAGTCCCAAATACACTTGAGTTGTCAATGGCAACAGTGTTCAAGTAATTAGACTACGCTGTGTTGATGATAAACCAATGATCGTCTAATGCGAGGTAATGAAATAAATTGGTCAGATAAGTAGTATCAGTTGTAGTATATATTAGGAAAATTTCCTTAGAATGAATCAGAATGTTGTTATTGTTCATCATTTGTGTTTGTTCTATTGATATTTCCATCACGTATCCATGATTGTTCCATCCCCTTCCACGTATTTACTGTCATCGGGAGATATTTGGCAATCTATAAAATCACCTCAGTCCCGACCATTACACGTGCAAATAATTGCAAAAAACAACAATTATAAGTGTTTGTAGCAGGTGCTAATAAATGACGTCTTAAATACAAGAGGAATATTTGGCTGAGAAAAAGTCAAAAGCAATAAATTCCCACATCCAGAATTTGGTTATGGTTGGGTTATCAACTCTGGTATTTTTCTATTAGACATACCTTTATATGACATCAGTCAATGATTTCAAGCCATTGACGTATAAAAACATTGCACTACTTCGATACATATATACCGATGATTAATTAATTGTTTAGACTATACATAACATATATGTCTATATCACAGTGTAATATACGTTTCAAACATGCTGACTTTATGATAATGAAGTCCGATGGTTTATCTAGAAATAGATGTATATGCATGACACGATATTAGAGAGAGATAGGTTGTCAAGCATGCATCTTGTATTCACATTGTTTTAAATTTAATTGGAGGTTGTGTGGATGACAAGGTCTATTCATTTGACGTAGATGTTACAGTACCATTTTGATACCCTATTAGTACTCTGCACATGGCCTGTCATGTACACTGAATCATGCCATATTCACCAAATAAACCTCTGTTCTGCTCTGACGTGATGTCAGGGGGTCCGTGGATGCGGGGAGTGGGAAATAGACGAGAAGTAAAACCTTAATGCATTAAATGTTGGTTTGCTTAAAATACACGTGGTTCTTGAAGCTATTGGAAATCACGGATGACACGATAAATAAGGCTCCAATCGAGGCATTTTATAACATAATAATTTCGGTTTGTTTTTCTCGGTGGTTGCGTTAGATGATTGTAAACCTAATCAGATTGTAGAAGAATTGACAAAAATTACATTATCAACACCTAAACCGTACATTACCTGTGTAAGGATGGTGACGAACTGAAAATGTTTTTGAAACTAAACTGAATCGACGTATTATACTATTCTAAATACAAATCAACATGACGCACTATTGGCATCGTTCAAAACGGTATGCCAATAATTTCTGTATAGGCTTACAAGTTCAGGAGTTATACTTTTTATAACGACTATGGGATTCGATACATTTAAGAAAGGCTCTGTGGTATAGCATTTTTCGAAAGGTCATAGTCTGAACATTTACAATGTTGATTAAAATCTTAATAGTCATTGTCATGGCAAATAAACTCTTCATTTGATTGAGAGCCGTGGGTGTTTACAATTGATTTACAAGTTTTGTTTTCCTACATCAAAGCCGATTTTAAGGACTGTGAGGCAGCAGTAACGTTTAAATTCATTATTGAGCTATTTATAAATAAGTAATTTTTAACTGTATATTTTTGCTTGTGGGTATACATATACTACATCTAGCTTATGTCAACAATAGATAAGCAAATGTTTACATACAACCAACATATCCGTAGATGGCGGTATACTAACTGTCGAACACAATGTGCCACCTGGAAGTCATTTTCTCACTGGGCCTGTATAAAACAAAGGTTTTAGCTGTGGTGGCGTACTCACAAAACAAAATACATTTAGGTGATTTAAATGAATGCCAACCGTCATCATTATTAGATGAATTTCATCACTGTTGCCATGGTACGCATTATCCCAAATAGTAGGCTGGAGACAGAGTGAGATCATTTTAAATCGTAACAGACATTTTCGGAATTATTAGCAAACGAGATTTGATATTCAGCCAAGATTGTTAATATTAGTGCTAATATATATCTGTTCTATTTTTATAGAAGAACCTTCCCAAATAAAAAAAATTCTAAAATTTAAAAACATAAGAGGTAGTCACTAAACCATGTACTTTCATGCTCAAGCAAGAGAATAGACATGTTGGTTACCTAGCCTTGCACTGTGAGTATTATATAGTTTTTTTTTCACAAATAAAAAAATT